TTTGCCCCTTGGAGGAAATTTCTTTGTCATGGAGCAACAATTTGGTCCTGAGATCTAATGGGTAGTTTTTCATGAAGTTTACTAAGCACATGGTGCCCAAAGGATAACCTCGGTGTTGAAGATAACTTTGTGAGCTTTCCTCTTGCACTACACTCAGATCAAGTTGTAAAGTAAAAACAAGATGTTCAGTATAATGGCAACATTTATGCAATTTGTTTTCCAAAATAATAGATTCAAATGTTGTCCATTGACCCTCGTGTCCCACTCTCAGGACAGACATTGCATTTATAGTCTCATTAATGGTAAGGCTCCAACAATAGCAAAATTGTAAGTATGTTTTTCAATCGATCCAAGAAAATAATCATTGCTGCCTATAGGGGCACCCTTTGGCTGTAGACTTGAAGCAATGTCCAAAACAATAAAACATTGTTTTATTTACAGCTTGTTGCCATACCAAACCCAGTTCCAGGACAGCAGTCAGAAACTGTCAAGCCCAAATCTCCCACAGTTAAACGGTCTACAACTGCTGGTAAGTTACAGGTTGACTTGAAGCTAGCTAGAGGTACAAAATTAATAATATGAATATAATTTTACTGTGTGTTACCAAAGGATGTCCTCAGTGTTATTGTTGTTGTTAATTTTGAATATCACTGCTTCTGACTGTATCTCTCTGAATTCCAGGCACCGAGCAACATCTGGTTGGTAAGTTGGTTCAACCTGTGTTGGCTGCAAACAGCGGCCAGCAGGATACATCAAAGGGTTCTACGCACAGGAGAATTTTATGTTTTGACCCTTCTGCAGAAGTTCAACCGGAAACTGCTAAAACAACAAGAACCACCTTACCTCCAGCTACAGATAAATCTACATCACGATCTGTCCAGCAGACTGAGAAAGATAATACGCAGTCGATCACTCGAACAAAGCCCACTATCTTGGGTGGCAACAAGCCCAAGAGGAGAGTGCAGACTGTCCAATGCTCAGCAGATCCCCAGACTGTAGGGGGCTTTGGGAAGGAGGCAGGGAAGCCCATTCTTCTGCAACAGCACCAGAAAGATCCTGTCAAAAAGAGCTCTCGCAAACAAGATCATAGCATCCATAACCAAGAGTCTCAAAGTGCAGGTACCAGCAGGGTTGATGCCTCACAGCCTGAGACTTTGTTAGGAAAAAGAGAATCAGGAAGGAGATCAAAATCTATTGACAGGAAGCACAGTCATGATAAAGATGGTGATGGAGAAAAAGCTAAGGATTCTCATAGTTCTAGGTCATTGTCCTCTGATTCTGCTCTGAAATCAGGCACTAGACAGGAGAAAGAGGAGAGTAGCAGGAAAGAACTTGCAGAAAAAGCTCCTGCCAAATCACGTGAGGGGCGTACAGAAAAGAGGACTCCCTCTCAGGAGGTGCCAAATGTGACGGCTAATAAGGAGAATGAAATGAAGGGTAGCATGAAAGAGCAGCAACAGCAATCAACACCGTCGTCATCAGCATCAAAAGATTTTAGCCCTCCAGCTGCCACCCAGCCAACATCTAATCCTCAGTCCAAGGCTACTAAAGCCCCCTCAAAGACCAGCTCTCTGGCCAAACAGGCAGCTGAGATGTTGCATGACATCCAGGGGCTCCACTCACCTCCTGCCCCAGTCAAGAGGCCTGGAGGGGGCAGTTCAGACCTTAGTCTTCCCCGGACCCCTGGGTCTGGACGTAACCAGGAGGAGTCCGCTGACTCTCCCAGGACTCCTGCCCGACAGAAGAAGGGTAAAGATGGAGAGGGGACTCCCAAGCATCTAATGCCTCCCAACACTCCGGATGTCCCCACCTGCAGCCCAGCCAGTGAAGCCGGTAGCGAAAGCAGTATTAACATGGCTGCTCACACACTCATGATTCTTTCTCGTGCTGCCATCGCCAGAACAGGCACTCCACTGAAGGACAGTTTGCGTCAGGAGGGAGTAGGAGAGAAGTCGCCTGCAAGCTCAAAGAGCTCCAAGAAACGCAAACAGTCTTCTCCTTCAGCCAGCCCGCCTGCAAAGAAAGACCGGGTGAGTACACAAGCATTTGCCATTCAGTCAGCATGTGTTTAAAATGTATTACGGTGTTAATACTAACCCTCTTTTCTGTAATAATGTTCTGTAACAATATTTTGTTTTCAGATGCAGGTAGACTTGCTTTTTTCTTTGATTAACCTTCTATAAATTGTCAGTAAAAAGCGCAAAATGCCTGTTACAATTTCAAAAAGCCAAGGTGATGTCTTTAAATTGCGTATTTTGTCGAAAATGCAAAAATATTTACCAAATATGACAAAGAAAAGCTGCAAATCTTAGACAAATCGATCAATCGATTGATTGATTAATGATTTCATCTCTACCTGGATGTCTTGCTGGTGTAAGCAGACAGTACTTAAAACTCCCAGAGCACTACAAGACTACCAACAGGGGGTGGGTAATCTGGCCATAAGATAATATCACAATCACAATCTATAATCTAAATTGCAATCTTTTTTTTTTCACTTTTGGACTGCCCTGTAGACTATAGCCAGCCCTAAAATAGCTTTTGAATTTCTCCATTTGCATCCTTAAAACACAATATTGCATTGAAGATACTACACTGTTTTCAAAATGGTGATTAAAACTTGAGTTTAATTTTAAGTTTCAAACAGAAGCCAAAAGATAACATGATCATAAAATAACACTTTTCAAATACTCCCAACTTTTTTACTTGCCCTTCCCTCATTACCACCTCTAAGGTGTCCTTGAGCAAGGCACTTAAACCCAACAACTCCAGTGGAGCTGCTCAGTAGCCAGCAGATCAGACTGGTAGTGCTGGGCAGCTTCCAGGTGTGTGAATGTGATCAGGGCATTGCTCTCAGTGAAAACCTTCTAAATGAATAAAGGTGAAACAGTACATCACCCAAGGAAGAACCACATGGAGTAATTTGTTCAATCAGGTGATTAAGTTGAATTATGGTGATTTTATCAGCAGAACTTCCTTTTGGTATCACACGAGACTGCATGTCTGTTGAATGATTAAAGATTAAAGTAGATTACCCAAATAATGTTAAATGAAGGGGAATTTTGTCACATATTTGTGTCATGTAATTCTAACTTTTTGTTTAAATCTACAGGAAAGGAAGAAACTTGTTGATTGCTTTCCCCATGACTTGGATGTGGATAAGTTCCTGTCTTCACTTCACTATGATGAGTGAAACCGGACACATCGACAGGAAAGGACTACCATATTACAACCTGCTTAGGTTACTATCCAGGAATAGAACAAGCCATCTGCTAAATCAGTGCCTATGGTTCCTATTAGTAACCTTGCCTGAGACCTTTTAAGCTCTAATGACTCCTTCAGCCAATGAGGGACTTAGATTTGATTGTCTAATTTCCTATGTGGGGGATCTGCATAGAATCCTGTTAGATGCAGCAGCAGTAGAGCGACATTGCACTTTGTTGTATTTGTTTTTTACTCTCATGCTTACTTCTGTTTTAATCATCATTGTTTTGTACCACAACAAAACAAAACATTTGGCAGGGCACTTAACGGTGCATGTTGTTAAAATGGATGACTCAAAGTATTTCCTTGGTCAATATTTGACTCTACTTTTGAATTTTAACTCAAACTAACACTGACTCATAGGTTAGTTTGTAAAAAATACATTTTGGAACATGTCTACTAGTCATTTTAGGAACATGAATGAGAACGATCATTGATTGAAGTCTGATTAATTAAAAGAGAAAGTAATGTGAACATTATATTTTGTGGCATATATGTGTATAGTTTTGATGTTATTGTTGGTAGAATCAGACACACTCAGTGTGAAAATGGCTGCACCTGTTCAATGTTGCATACTCAGGCGTTATTCATCATTGTAATAAAAGAAAGAAACTGTCTTGTGTGTTGTTTCTCCTTGTACACACATTGCCCCAGTTCCAATGTGCATCTTAAGCAGAGGCTTTATTTAACATCACATGTGTGAATGTTTGGGGATGCAAGAGCCCAATATGTCCTATGAGGAAACACTTGGGGGGGGGGGTGGACTTTCTGTGTCCAGGAAAGTGCAACGTTTATATTTGTGTATCTCATACATGTATAGTTAAATGTATTTTGAGTGTTGCTCATTATCTGAAAATTGGTCTATATATATATATATATATATATATATATATATATATATATTCTGCAGCACTACAGGTTTTGTGTGAGGCAAAGTCCTTTGAGGGTTCAAACAGTGAGAGAGCCTTCAAGCATGCCTTTTAATCTGGTGTCAGACAACTACATGCTATTGCCTCTCTAACTCTCATATCATGTTTCACAATCACTTCATGTTTTTAATAAATGTGGGATTTCCATTAAAGGGCAAACGTGTCACTGCTATCTGGTTAAACAAAGTATTACAATTTCAAGGTTAGAGTTGCGATTGTCACGTTTTGTTGGCAAATCTGGCAACCTCCGATTGGACCAAAAACAGACCATACGGAAATACGTCTTCATTCCAATTTCACAATAAAAGTATCTCGTTTATGAGTTGACCTATATGAATTGAGTCTGGGAGGGAGAAAATGTTATATTTATGCTATGTGTCGCTTTCACGTGTATACAATTGATTATCTTATCATGCCAGGTTAATAACAAACGTGTTTGAAGAAACTTATTCACGGCAGAACCGTAACACCGTTTTACTTTGACACGTCCGACGTTTGTTTCCGGGTGAAGAGGACAGGAAAGAGGTACGACTGTCATTTAATTTTAACAAACATCGCTCTGTTTCCCCTCTATATAGCGTGTATTTTCTCATTAATATAACAGCACAACGGCACGGCACACTTTTATACACCTCCCCACAAGTAAGGCGACTCGTTAATGATTTCGAAAACATTTACTTTGATGTAGAGACTGCCAGCGTCCCTAGCTTAGCCGTTAGCATGTTGGCTAACCGGTTAGCATGTGGAGGATGATGATGTGAACGTATTTGGCATCATATCTAATTACAGACCGACGGTTATTTCCGTTAACTGTGTAGGTTATTGTCGCTAGGCAGCAGCTAATAATTGAGCCATGGCCTTACTGTTTAGTGTGATATGTTCTCGTTGTATCAATAATCAATAATCACAATGCGGTTTGAATATCAGCCGGCGTGTTGACGAAATGTTCGCCGTGACAGTCTGATATTTTATTGATTAACAGCCGCTGATAAGGATTGTCAGGACTGGTCTGAGTCCCACAGTGTCTGTTCTCTTAGCTCAGTAGGAAGCGAAACAAGAGCTGCTGAGCGACTTGTCGTTTTCTTTCGTCCTAGACCGTCGGACCTGCTCAAACCTTGATCGACATGGCAGCCAATGGAGCAGGCTGTGAACAGCCTCAGAAACGTGCAGGGGCTAAAGACAGACAGAATGGAAAGTCTATAGGTGAGTTTTGTTCAACTTCTAACTTCTTAAAATGTGTAGCAGCACTCATCTGAGAAGTGTGCCTGTAAGGTTGTGTAATACCTGATGGCACAGAACGATAACTACCACCGCTGATACTACATGTCATAAAAAACCTCAAGCTGATTCATTTTAGGTCACTTTCGGTTTTCAAAATGTGCCAGGAACTTAACTAAAATAGAGCAAGGGCAGAACCAGACTTGTTTATGTCACATGTATCATGTATTTAGCGTTGCCAGTTCAACAGGATGCTATAATTGATGTAGATACAAGTGTTACAGTATGTGAGGGTGATTGCAATTCTGTTTATTCTCCAGACTCCTCAGTAAGAGAGAGGCGACAGAAAGATAAGGAGGATCGCCTGTCACTGGTGGTATGGAGGAGGCCTGTCACCACGCTACATTATTTCCTCCTGGAGACCCTCATCAAGCTAAAGGAGTGGACGTTTAAGTAAGAAGTCAAACAGGTTTTTCTAGTGTGTGTCAGGATGTTTGTGCTTACATGTATTTGTGACCTTTTGTCCAGTTTGTTTTACTTGTGACTCAGTAAAGCAGACACTACCCTTTTGACCTTAGCAATTATAAAAAAGTAATTTCTCTGTCCCTGAGATGCTGGAGTTGTTGTATAGTTGAGGATACTTTAACACAGTCATTGATAGATTGAAGACATTTACATTTGTGGAGAAACTTTCCGTGATCAAAACTCATTGGGAATTCCCTTTTTATATAAGGAGCCGAGCATTTGAGTTGCCAGGTCACTCCAATAATAATTAACGGAGGAAACATCAGGGGGGTGTTTTTGTTTGTATGTCTGGAATTTTTCCATTGTTAACATTGTTTTTTTCTTTTTTTGACTTCCTGTTCAGGCTTTGGCAACGACGAGGCGCAGTGTTCTTAGTTTTGGTGTTATGTTCTATGTTCTCCATCGCCTACTCCACTGAGGGAGGACACCAACAAGTAAGGCTTTACTGATTAGTTTTTTTTTAGTGATGTTAATAATCAACACCATTGCTCCACCACCAGCCTGTTTAAAGGTTAATGATAAGTCACTCTTTAGCCACCTAAAAACCTTCCCAGAAGAAAGCTCATGTTGGGAGATAATGAAGTCCACGCTGTTGTCAAGCAACCCTTGATCATACGTTCAGTTGGCAAGAGGTTTTGTTTACAAATTCCTCTGTGCAGTGGTCTGTTACAGTTCAGTTAAGCATCACCGGTCTTCAATACAGAATGAACATCTTTCCTGATTACTAACATTTGTAATGATGAACTACAGTATACAGTGAGATTATACACACATTGGACAGCTGATAAAAGTTGTTCTTTTGATAAATCGTGTCATTACTACAACTGAGAAAGAGCTCTGAAGTAAACGGCTTATTAAATATGAGCACCATTAAACATTATATCCTAAACAGACAAGAAAACTCTAATTATCAGTAATTAATAATTGCCTTCTAATCTGTTTTATTTCTCCACTGAAGTATGTTGAGTACCTTGAGAAGAAGTTCCTATGGTGTGCCTACTGGGTAGGCCTTGGGATCCTGTCCTCTGTAGGCCTTGGGACTGGCCTGCACACCTTCCTCCTCTATCTGGTAAGAGAACAAGTTTTTATGTTTTGAAAAAAGTGTACACACCAGTTCTTGAATTGGGTTAGTACAAAACACAAAGACACTCGTAAACAGAATGCAGATTATTTTAAGGTGGAATAAACACAGTAAAAATGCACGTTTTATATTTAAGAATATTCAAACATTCAATCAGGAGAAAGCCACCTCACTCTGAGGGCAGCTGTAGTGCTGAACTATATATACTATACTATATAATATAGAGTGAAGTAGTGAGGGAAAAGAAAAAACACATCTTTGTAAAAGTTGAAGCTACCTATTTTGATTGCTATAAATAACTTTAGCTCAACTTGATGCTGATGTAAATGTTTCTCCACTTGAGTGCCTTGAAATGTAATTTGAACGAGCAGCATGTAATTATGATGGCAGAAAAAAGGAGCAGGAAATGTCAGTGATAAAGTAATTCAGCTTCCTACTACTAAGTGCACACAAATAGTGGAGCTATAAAGAACAGACACAATAAATACATGTAAATGTCCACTTAAACCAAATTCAGATGTAATCATTCACATTTACATATTTCTGGCTACATACAGCTGGCCCATATCTCAACACTTAAAAGGCTGCAACATGATAATGGCTGTAAAGAGAAACTGGTAACCATAAGTATCTAATTGGGTGTGCGCAGTCTGGGTCAGGACATCCTGTGTGTATGCAAATTACATCTGATTCACCACAAGTTGTTGTCCTGTTTCTACATATACCTGAATAAATGACCCCCAACTGGAACTTAAGTTCATAGCATCTTTGCAAAGCCCATGTGTGTCTATCCCTGCAGTAGCCAGAGGATGGCGTCATACTCACTCATCATATTCATTGTCGTCTGCTTCTTTAAACTCATTCCATTTTGTCACCCGTCTGTCTAAGCTAACCAAAAGCTGAGAAGAGTGAGGCAGTCAGAGAATGACTGTATGACTGAGTCACCAAAATGTGTGTCATTTCTGTTGGTTGTGGTAAAAAGGAGAACGTAGACAAATGAAAGAGAGGAATAAATTCTGCACCCTAGTCCGCTTTTAAGCTGATGATGTGGCCTCTGTTCTGTACAACCAGTGCATATGTGGGCCAGCTGAGTCAGCTGTTTCCATTACAATTAAATAATAGGAAAAGATGCGATGTGACCTTCCTGTTTTTCAGAGCTGATGCACATTCCTATTAATCCTTTACAGCCGACCATGTGTTTGTTTGAGTAGTTTCACAGTCTTTGACTGTTTATTGGTCTTCAGTTACTTTATATACTGTGGTGGTTCCTACTGTGCATACTGTGTGTGCATGTGTGTACTTGTGTGCACTCTTTTATGTATCACTATACTAAAAAGGCATGACATCATCCTCCCTCCACTCTCTGTGTGAGGGAGGTTTCTTCCTATGAGTACGCATCATCATCTCCCCATATGGAACAACTTGGTATCTGTTAAAACAGCTTTTCTCATTTATTTTTTACAATTACCAACTTCTCACCTTAGGCTCTGTGATTAAGTCTTAAATCACAATTTTCATGGAAATCATTAAAATTTCCCTCAGAAATGAGTAAGTCAGTCTTCCCAAATTTGTATTGACTCCTACCTCCAGCCTTAGCTAACACATTTTCTTTTTTTACCTCATATTTCAGCAGAGAATTGTTTTGTTTGGACACTTGGGTAAACCCATTATTTTGAAATCCAGGAAGATCATACTGTGTCTCATTTTTGCCATTGGAAGTGGATCCTTGTGGTCCAAGCAACTAGAATGAAGTCCTTTAAATAGTCATTAACTTTTAGCTATAAATTCACAAAAGATATGATTAGTTTCAACAGCACCTTCAAGAGGTTGTAGCTGTGGGTCAATTCTTTTGGAGAGATTGAGAACTTGAAAATGTGGTCTTCTCCCAGTTCTTATCTGTTTATACCTCTGCTATCTGCCTAAAGCTAGCGACCTCTCTCACACCAATCCAGGCATCGTTTATCTTATTCCCCTCTAGTTATATTAGAACATCCTTTTGTTGGAGGCTCTGCTTTCCATTAGCTTTCATTTTTAGATGCACATATACCCTTTTAAACCCCTCCCTGTCCCTTTCTTATTCAGAAGAGCCATCAGGTTACTGTTAATCCAGGGTCTGGGTGTTAAGGAAAGCAGCATACCTCTCTGAGTAGAACACTGTTGTCCATCATCCCCAGTTGCATCCAGAGCAACATGTAAAGCATCCTTAAACTGAACATTTCTGATATTTGTTTTTTACATGATGTAAGCCCTCTGCTCATAAGGAGACTATTTCCTGTTTTCTTACTCCCTAAAACTTGTCTCTTGTTCACAGTGCAACAGCTCATATCACTACTGCCTACTAAGTGTTGATGTCAGCCATAGAAAGGAAAATCTTAAGTTTGAAAAAACCACATCTCCCACCAGCAGAATTACACTGAATAAATCTCAAGCCTGAAGCATTAATAGATAGCCCCACAGAGAGGGTGAGATCATTGTGCTCATGGGAAAGGGGATTCACTCACCAATATGATTCATCATGGTGTTTTTAGAGGTCATGCATTGCTGGATTATAGTCATAATATTGTGGTTAAAATAAGAGAACATACATTCTCGGGTATTGTCTATTTGATCAGAGCGCAAATTGTTTACAGCTTCTTTCAGTTTTTTGATGATGGGAGCTAAAAATGATGACGTCTATCCACCATGTCAGTCCACCCCTTTTTCCATCCATCTCTTTGCTTTAGAACAAGATCTCCGGACTATTGCCGTCTAGTGTCTTGTGCATTTTTGTACGATTCCTAATTTTGGTAACTGCATGTTACTGTCGGGTCAAAATGTAACTTTAACCAACAAATGGTAGTTTGAAAACTAATTGTTGGATTTACAGGAAATTTGTAGTGGTGGTTCATAATCCCTAGAGGATTAATCGGAACATTTTTGGTGAAACACAGGACACACCCAAACACTTGCGCCATCCACAGGCCAAAATATCAAAGCAGATTGCCGTGAAATTTGTTGAGCTCATTCATGCTGCTGAGGGGATAATCAGTTTTAATGACCTTATGGCCCTTCCTGTTGTGTCACCTCCCCAATAATCTAACCTATTTAAACCCATTAGTGGTAAGGCTTTAAGAACTGAAAAATGGTCAGGATGTTGCTTGTTCCATCCAACATTTTTGCATTGTGGGCTGTAATGAGTTTTTTTTTTCTTTCAAATGATTCAAATGGTACTTTATAAAAGCAGCTGGCTGACTGGTTACTTGGTAAAAGAAGTGGTTTATCTGATGTCTAAATTTCATGCAAAGAGTTTTTCTTTGCCGACTTTAGAGAGCTATGAGATGACTGCAGAGCCACTGTGTCGCCTGTCTGAGAGTATCAGAATTTGGCTCTAGCGGTTGAATCACAGCTTAGTTGTTTTTTCTTGTTAACACTGACTTTGTCATGTCATGAAGAAATGTTGTTAAGTGAAGTTCTGTTTGGTTTGAAACAGACTGTGTTTTGTAAACTAAAGAAGCCTCCTGTGTGCTCATACAGCAGAGTGGGGTGGAGAGTTACTATGCGGGAGCAGTTGCAGTCAACACAGACTAATTGTGTGCTGTCAGTCTACTGTCAGTGTTGCCTGTATCACCTTAAAGAGGCATAATGGAGTAGCTGTTTTGTAGTTACAGGTGGGCCAACCGTGGAAGCCAGGTGGCTCGGCCTAACTAGACATCTTTTCAATGGTAAATGATGACATACCTGCCTGTCAGAAACTGTGTGACACCTGATGGAGTGTGTCTGCACCTGTTTTGAAGAGGTGTAAATTCAACTGTGTGGTCATTTTGGAGGCTGCAGATTAGGTACTGTTGAGTTATGTTGAATTATAGAGGGAAGTAGTGTTTCTAACACCATGTTTACATCAATGAGGGTAGACTAAATATTAGAAACTCCTCATTCAATACAAGTCCAAAAACTGCAGCCTCCAAAATGATTTTTAAGTTGAGTCAGCACCTCTCTAAAATGTTTTCAACAAGAACTGAACATTGTAAACTTCATCAGTGGAGGATTTATTGCATGATTATTGTAATGCACTGCATTAGTTTTAGTTAAACTGTAAGTATATATATATATGATATATGGTACTGGCAATATTTAAATCTTTCTTAATTTAAAATACCTGCTGGGGTTGACAATATACAAGATGTTGAGATACAACATTCATAACTAATATATATATATATATATATATATATATATATATATATATATATATATATATATATATATATATATATATATATATATATATATGAGCTAAATCTATAATAGCCTTCTACCTGTGGCAATTGCAGTTTGAGTGTATTTTGTATCCCATTGCTCAGTTTCTCCAAGCAACAGTATTTCCACATTTACGATGACATGTTTGCGCCTGTCCAAGTGTTTCATGATACAACATGTTGGACAAAATGATTGCATGTGCCAGTATACGTCCCAGTGTTTTCCAGTCCATTCAAGTGGCTCATCCTATCCCCATCTCTCTCATAGGGTCCACACATAGCATCAGTAACCCTGGCAGCATACGAGTGCAGCTCCACAGACTTCCCAGAGCCTCCCTACCCAGACCAGATTGTCTGTCCCCAAGGCGGAGGGGTGGAGGGAAGTGTCTCCCTCTTCTCAATCATGTCAAAGGTCCGCCTGGAGGCCTGCATGTGGGTGAGTAGTAGTTTGAACAAAGAGGCAACACAGTGATGATCCAGTGGAAAAATGGCAAGAATGTTTGGCAGTGCCAGCAGTGGGTGGCATTGTGACAGCTGGACATTTGTCAGAGAATTTGGACTCCTCATTTCAACATCATACATGAAATTCACTCACCTTTCAGCGAAAGGACCCCCCTAGAGGGCTAATATCCTTCTCACCTTTTTCACCCCTGACCCGTTTTCATGCCTGCAACATGTTTATGCCAGCGGAAAAAACTGATGCTTATAGAACTTAAAGAGCTTCTGTTTCTTCTGTGAATTGCATTATTTTACACATTTGGGTGTACCAAAGTTCATGGTGGCAGGAATTGTCTGTCTGTTTGTGAATCTGAGAGATATGTAAGCAAATGCTGACATTGAACATTTTAAATTGTGTTGGTGTAGGGAGCTGGCACTGCCATCGGAGAGCTGCCTCCATATTTCATGGCCAGAGCAGCTCGTCAGTCAGGAGCTGATCCAGACGATGAAGATTATGAGGAGTTTGAGGAGATGCTGGAGCAGGCCGAGGGCGCTCAGGTCAGAGTTGCACACACGTACACATCTAAGGTGACATCTTAGCGTATGGTGTAACATTTCTCACTTCTATCAGTGTAGGAGTTAACACTTTGCCAACATCCCCAATATGATATGATCATATCTCATAAGGCCTCATACATAAGGCACAACTGACCATGGAGGCTTTGTGCAGTGATTGGTCTTAAAGTGCCATGTGACTTCACTGAAGCTCCTCCCTCCTTACACTTCCAGTAAATCTGTCTGTTCATGGGTGAGTCACCCTGAGCACAGCTCCCCCTTTAATCATCCCTCGGGCTTCGCTCTCTCTGCCTCCCTTCTTCTCTCTTTTCACCGGCCTCTAATTTGAATGACAGACAGCTCTGTCAGGAACAGTGTTCACATGACTGGAGACGGCCGAGATCAGATGCTGAGTCAGCAGCACACAAAACAGAGAAACTGAGTACATTGTCTCCATCCCCTATTCTCACTTCACTGGTTCAACCTCACATCACATGTCTTTGATCATGGGAAGGCATTCAGGATGTATCCACATGTGCATTTGTCGTAGGTTTTCTAACACAAAAGTCAGAAGCACTTTAAGACCTAGGGAACAGATGCTTAATGGGACTGAATGTCACATAAAATATATTTAAAGAGAAGCATGTAAGTGTGTATTGTTAATTTTATCAACAACAAAAACATGTATTATAGTCTGGGTTCTTAAGGCAAGAAAACGAGAAAGAAAAGTGTGAAAATCAACAGAATTCCAGCAGACAAAAAGAGAAGCATTTTCACAAAAAAATGGAGAGATTTATTTAATTGTTGTTTTTTTTTAATAATTATCAATAAATGATGATAATGTTTGTGACTTTTTAGTGGCATAGGTTTTTTGTGATATCTGCATGAGGAAAACAAAATTCAGAATTAAAACAATATGCACAATAAATATTAACAAAAAGAATTGACATAACAAAAGACACGTTGGGTTTAAAGATGAAAACAAATAAGATTTTTAATTGTGGATAGGAAACTAAAATTTAAATTGCTTGCAAAATTGACCTTGATGAGATGCCAACTTTTGAAACTACCTCTTAATCTCCCCCCTGCATCGGCTGTAACCACACCATGTAACCACAGACATTTCACCCCCACATGGAAGGACACGCAATCAAGAGATCCTCTGCACTTTTGTACCACACCGTTTCTAGTTTTAATGCCACCGATCCTCAAACCAAAAAAAAGAAAAATAATTGAGCGCTCAGAAATAGTAGGTATTTTACCACAGTACTGGTAGGCTCTCGTTTCTTGTAATAACATTGCCGACGACATTTGTTTGGTTAAAAACCACACATCTGAAAAAAGTACAGCGTGGTTATTTTAAGAAAGGAATAAACGGGTGGCGTGTTTAGAGACACCCATGTATTTGAAAAAATGAGTATTGCAGTGTGGTATAGCAGCTTTTACAAACCATAGGAGTCAAATTTAGATTTTTAACTGAAACTTTTTATAACTTTTAAAAATCCTACCCATCCATATCTGACAATACAAGTAATGTGTGTTAAATTCATTAAATCTGTGTGCAGGATTTTGTCACAAGAGCAAAACTGGGAGTCCAGCATATGGTGCAGAAAGTGGGATTCTTTGGGATCTTGGCTTGCGCCTCTGTAAGTGTATTAATATAATTTTGTATTTATTGATTGGAGGTTGTTTTTAATGACCCTGCAATTTTTGAGACAACCATGATCAAATATTAATGTTGCATTGTAGTGTTTTCTCATTTCAACAAACATTTATCACTTGTAAGAAATTAACCTGACACCTGTAACAAGGGTCATTTATAAGTTTATGAATCAATAATATCACACTGTGTGTGTGTGTGTGTGTGTGTGTGTGTGTGTGTCTGTGTGTGTGTCTGTGTGTGTGTGTGTATCTGTGTGTGTCTGTGTGTGTGTGTCTGTCTGTGTGTGTGTCTGTGTGTGTTTCAGATTCCTAATCCTCTCTTCGACCTGGCTGGAATAACTTGCGGTCATTTCCTGGTTCCCTTCTGGACCTTCTTTGGAGCAACTCTAATTGGGAAAGCCATCATCAAGATGCATATACAGGTCGGTAGCTCAACTGAAAGTTTTGTTAGAGGTGTTTTAGAAACCAGAACAGGAACCAGTTCACCTCAAACTACCCTACTTTTTTCCGTTTTTTTTTTTAACACAAACCATACGGGCACATACCATACTTGCATAATCTTGGCTATGACACATCTTAGTTTCATGTCATTACAATTCTCTGTCTCCATTGTAACAATGCACATCAAAAAGTCTCGCTTAAGAAAACAGCCTATGCACTGCTGACTGATTCACTTTGAACAATCCCTTCAACCTCAAAACGTGCGGGAGAGCTAAGATCAAATGTCATGCTTAGCTCATGAGTTGGTGACTGTGAGAAACTCTTAATTGTGCACTTCTTTTTAACTCTTTCTGACAGCCTCTGGGAATTCCTTATTCTGGTTTTTGCTTTGGGATGCATCATATAAACAGGCTCCAGATGAAAAGAGGCGCACTTTTTAAAAAGCTTTTTAACAAGAGTTTGGACTTTTAAAAATTGACTAGATCAAAAAAGAACTTGTTTAGTCCGCCACACCAATGACTAATATAAGCCTATAAGAAGAGGCTGTCTGTGTATGTGGGTGAGTCGCTGAGTGTCTTAACAAACTAAATCTATCCATCTCTCGGTGGTACCAGCCAGTGATCTCACTCTGAGACCTTTCAAACAAAGACGCCCGGCGGGTAGCAGGGGGTTAAGGAGGATGTAGAGTGGACATGAGAAGGTAAACATGAGAGAAGGAAATTGAGCAGACGGTAAGAAGCTGCAGGGGAGACTCTTTGGGGTTTTTTTGTACCTTGAACCTATTGGACATCACGTGTCATATCCTGTCTGATTTTGTCCGGGGGGCCATGTGTCATGCAGTTTAAAGCTGATCAGTTTCAGGACCGGAGAAGAATATTGCGGTTTTGCAAACCGCACAAAGCCCCTCGTAGCCCAAAATTTAGCTTACTGCCAGGTTTGATTTTGGTAATAAGTGCGTCTGTGGACGGTCGCAGACGTAGCCTCAGTTTCCCACAGCTGTGCTGCTAACCTTAAGTGTGTGTGTGTGTGTGTGTGTGTGTGTGTGTGTGTGTGTGTGTGTGTGTGTGTGTGTGTGTGTGTGTGTCTGTGTGTGTGTCTGTGTCTGTGTGTGTGTGTCTGTGTGTGTCTGTGTGCGTGTCGTGTGTCTGGTGCGTGGGTGTGTCGTGGTGTGTGTCTGTGTCTGTGTCTGTGTCTGTGTCTGTGTCTGTGTCTGTGTCTGTGTGTGTGTGTGTGTGTGTGTCTGTGAGTGTGTGTGTGTTAGTTACCTCTGCATATGATCAGAAAGCAATGGGTTTAAAGCTCATTAATCTCTCTCTTGTTTTCTTACAGAAACTATTTGTTATCATTACCTTCAGCAAGCACATAGTGGAGCAAATGGTGTCACTCATTGGGTAAGTTTCTGTCTTGACTTGTACCGTTTGCATGCGTGTGTGTGTGTGAGAGAGACTGCATTAATCAGGTACTCAGTGAAGTCATTGTCTTTCCCCTGGTTTTTGTGGTTGGCAATGCATTTGTAAACATTTGATGCATTGTGACCACTGATTTGGGATCCTGTATGAATAAATGGCTTTCACTGAGGGAGTGTACATGCTTGCATTTAGCATTTTTCCACACAAAGCACACACATGCAATCCATCTCTGCAGCACTGGTGGTCAGGCGTGTGAGGTCCCATCTGAACATGTTGATCTGACTCACCAAGTTCAGCTTTGACTGTGCAAATTGCCCCAGTAAGGCGGGAAACACAATCATAGACGGAGAGAAAACTATGTCTGACTGTTTAACTAATGTCAGATATAGCCAATTTATAGCAATTATAAGTGATATCCCAATTGATTTTAAATGATCAAATGAGCTGTTCAAATAAAAAAAAAATAGATACCAAATAGTATCTGTTGTGAGTCAAGTCACGAATTGTCAAGTCAGGAAAGAGTTTAGTCAGACTTCTACTAATATGTTCATAGGAGCTGCTTGGTTTTTATTGATCTATATTGTTAAATGTTCACATGGATGTGAAATCCAGGTAGTAGCTCTAACCATATTTGGATCTGAATCTTTGGTCACACTCAGTGTCCTGTTAGAAATAAAGTTAAGGTTCTTTCCCATGAAATTCAGATGGCTGATGACTCGCTATGATGAGTGCAAACAGAGCTGATACAGGATGTTTTTTTGCTGTTGCTTTTTGTACATTATTCATGTGTGCTTGCATGTAAAGTGGAAGAGATAACAAGAATGAGTCAGTCAACACTAGTTACATTTATTTGAAATCAGCAATTACCTACTTCCCTTTCGGTTTGTTTAGTAAATCGTCTCATTTTTTTTTTTGCTTAGTCTTGTCAGGTCTAGACTACATGTTTATGACCAGGGACAGAGTTTAATTGTGTCTACAGCCTCCAGTATATTTTTCTTTGCATGGTAATGATAAGTTTTCATGTAGAGATCCCTTCGAACTGTACCACTGCTGACCAAATGGTAAAACTGCGACACCAGTGCGTCTGTATGAAATGAATTGATAAAACGGTATCCATTATGATTGGCCTCCCGGTGAGCTAATCCACACTGCCTAAAATGGACATGAGCACGCCCTGATTAGATATCTTTCCACCCAGAAGGCAGCAGTGGTGGTAAAGGTGGTGACATCATGTCGACTCACTTCCTGATTGAAGGGGCTGACACAGGCTCCTATAGAGCTAAGTAGTATAAAAGGAGGGCTGAGGAGTCTCTGCTTCATTCCTCTCTGCTGCCTGCTCCTGCTCACAGCACTAAGTAGAGGTGGAAGCTCTAAGATGGGGCCCACATGTAGGATGGGGCCTTCAGCAGCAGTTACAAGGATGCTGGTTGACTGGTGGATCAGTGAGGACTTTTGGTAGCGTTCAGGGAAAGAGGAAGCTTTCATGAACTGCTCTTTGAGGCTCTTATAGGGAATAAGTGTTCAGAGTCTAAAACTTCAGTTTTGGGCTCCATGTCAAAGGAGGGGTGCTTTAAAGGGTAAGTGAATTCATGTTCTTCCATCCTGTCTCTTTTTGTCTTTTCTTTTTGCTGTTCTGTGTGGACGTATGCGGGGCTGCCATGTCAGGTCTGTGCCCAAAGTGGGACCATCACTCCAGAAGCCCTTCAGTCAGTACCTGGAAGCACAAAGGAACAAGCTGCACCATGCTGGGGGAAGTGCACCAGCGGTAAGAACAATACATTATTTAACCATGCACCACTGTTTTTTTTTTTTTTTTATCCTAAGGTGAGCTTTATTGATGTATTCATTTGTTAAGATATTATGTAAGCTTTTTGTCAAACTGAAGACTTTAAATGATGCACTGGAAAGGTTTTCAGTGCACAACATTTCCTCAGCCAACACTTGGAGCACAATTTAAAAAAAATACCAGTACGTGATTTTTTAAGGCCAGTATTTATATTGATCACATAACAAAATTTGTCACCAAAGAATTATAATTAATTGTCAGTCATTTCTGGAGGACAAATGTAACGGAGAAACTATTTCTAAATTACCTCAAACATAGCTTTGGCACTTTTGGACTGCAATCTCTTATTATATACTGCTAATATCAGAGGATTTGATCTGTATAGCTCTTACAGTCAGGTTGCTAAAATCCAGAAACTGGGGCCATTGTTTTTATACTTGAATACCTTTTTCTTCCAACCATGTACCACTGTCATGTACACAGGACATCAACAATATCCACATTATTTTTATTCGCTTATGTGGATTTGTGTGTTCATGAGCTGTAATATTGCAGCATGCTTGTGTGACTGTAATTAATAGCATATGCACCCTAATTTTGGGTTTCCAGGATGAGAACTGGCTGTCGTGGGTGTTTGAGAAGGTGGTGCTGGTCATGGTCTGCTACTTTGTCACTTCCATCGTCAACTCCATGGCTCAGAGCTACGCCAAGCGCCTGCAGCAGCAGAGGCACTCGGAGGAGAAGACCAAGTGAGACAAAGCGGTACAAACATCCAAGAGACTGTGTTTCTGCTGCTGCTGAGAGCCCTCCACTCAGCCCCAGCCACTCTCAACTTAACAACAAACCTCACCCCCCCATCCATTCTCAGAGGCTGAACGCTCAAAAAAAAAAAAAAAAAAACAGGCACTATTTGTTGGTGTGAGTGAGTGAGTGTGTGCGCTTTTGAGGATGTATGTGCTGTTTTCTGTTTGTCCCTCTTCAGGTTTTGTAGTTCTTCCTCTCATCTCACTCTCCAGGCGTGCATAGTGCGATCAGTTCTATAGCTGATCTTAACTTGTTACTTTAACGTTAAATTTAACCCATTCATTGACCTCAGAAGTTTAAGCAGCGGTTTGGTGGTGACTGCTGTGTGCGGGCAGTGCCCATCAGCTATGCCTTATGCAAGACGGGAAGGTCTGACTTCCCTTGAACATAGTTCTTGACTTATAAACTTGATTTTTATTTAATTTTGTAACATTTATGTATGGATGGATCTGTTTGTACAGTGTGCTGCCAAGATAACTGCTATGGATGGTCTCTTTTCAGGGTTTAATTTTCCTCATGTTTTCGTCCTGTTAAACAGTAAGACCAATTTGTCTTTTTTTTTCCGTTTCTGGAATTGTCAGTTTAAATGGTGAAAAAAAAGCAATATCAACTTAAAACAGTGTGGTATTGGTGGTTTGCACATTGTGTAAATATCTTAATATCTTTTTGACAGTATGCGCAGATGTGTTTCTATTCTAATGGTCTGTGTGGACACGAGTTAACTTGAACCAAAACAAAAAAAGAAAAGATGATATCATTTGTAAAGTGACGTTGTACTCTCAGCTACCTAGTACCATTTCTATTCTGTACATTTAGGTTGAACCTTGGATCAGATCATATATAAAACATGAAAATCATGGCACTTGTTTCCATGTCTGAGTCTGTCATTTATTTGTCTTCTCTTGTAGGACAAGATTACCTTTAACATGTTCGTCCTCTGTTGTGATCCAGTGATGTTAAAAAAATAATTAGCCATCATGACAGAGCTAATGCTTAAATTTCTCTTAGCAATGATCATCTTTAAGGTAAGTGACTAGTTCGGCACGCTTTCTTTTTAGTCATTCTTGTTGGGAGTTGCATTATAGTCGCAGGTAACTTTTGGAGTTCTTTAATTGAATGTTCATCACGTGATTCGGACTTCACATTTTGACCACCATCCTTCACTGCGTTGGGGATAACTCCTGCCTGAAACATGCTTGGCAGATTCTGGTGGACTCCAGCTTTATGCATAGAGGTCCCCTTCTACCTTGGTCGTCCACTCCCAGCCACCACATTCCCACCCCGTCAGCTAGCTTATCAGACTGGTGTTGGCTGTTAAATGAGCACGGCAACAGCGGTCTGTAGGCTGGCTGAAGTTGTGGGTCATCAGCATTTCATTTGTGCTGCTTGGCTCATGCCAAGACTGTACTTGGTGCATCTGCAGATACAACGGCCTGCCTTTAGTAACACTGTCCTAATACTATTCTGTTAATACTATGATGTAAAACTAATGAACAATAAAGACATGAAATGTATGTTAACTGATGCTCTTGTCACTTTTCTCTGTGCAGTGCTGCTATTCCTGATTGCTGAACACACATTTTCAAACTATAATAGCTCCAGCTGATCTCACCACAACTTAAATTTAGATACATCATATGATCTTCCTCGGTTGTCATGGAATTGTAGATGTTGAAATGTCTATAGCTTTTCATCTATGTTGGCTTTAAAAGTTTAGTCAGGTCATTCTTGACCACCAAAACAGCAGTTGACAAAATAATCTCATCACAAAGTCCATAAGAATATAATATAATTTAATTTTAATAAAATTGCATATTTCCATTAAAAAGGCTTTGAATGTGTGTCATAATTCCAGTGCAAAGTAGTTGCATCAGTCCTCACCACTCCAGGTTTTTGTGTTCTCTTGTCTACATACAGTCCAAAGACAAGGTGGTGCTTGTTAGTTCTTCCCATTTCTAGCACAGCTGACTGTAGCTGGAGATGACTTGCTCAAGAGACGTAAAGCTGTCAAGAAAGTCCTCCTCTGAGATCCCAAATTTAATGTACTGATGGATGTAGGCCCTGTAACAGGAAAGGAAAATGACTAAAACACATCTAATCCAGAAACAAATGAACTTTTCTTCACCAACCTAAAAGGTATTCATGTTAAAAAGAAATAGTTAAACGCACGCACGCACGCTATATACGTATTCCTTTTAATAGGCTTTTGTTGTCATACTGTTGGGACACACCTTTTCATTAAAAAATAGTGACTGACTCACCTGGATGCAAACATATTCCAGGCTTTTCCCACCATGTTATCCAGAGGTCTGAGCAGAGCCTGACTGTTACTGACCAGTGTGGCAGATTTCTCATACTTATTAAAAGGCACTGGGGATTTCCACAAGTTGAAAGCTTCTTCTGATGGGAGCCAGGAGGTGTACAGGGCCGGGTCCTCAAAGCCACCTGTGGACAGCACAGGACATGATTCACATTCCTTGTTCTGCACTACGTGAAAATGTTAATGTATCACACCAGCTTCATCCCCTTCATGACAGTAGTGGATTTATCAGGTGAAATCAATAAGGAATTAAAACATTATTTTATTAGTCCATGTACTTTTCAATAAGAAAATCAACAAGTTTCAACCGTCTCTCTGACCTGTCTCTGCGCTGTACACGTCTTTCCCTCTCAGTATGAGCAGGTTGGCCAGAGAGGTGTTAAAGCTGGGTCCTGTGAGACTCCTGGTCCGCTCAGAGCCTGCAGGTGGACGCACCTGCCAGTCTATACCTGACACAGGACAAACAACAAGGACCCTTACAAGTGCTCGAAGATGTCATTTGTAACATGATCTCACTTCTACTTTCAAGCCACACTGACCTAATACACATGCTGAAACTGAAGTGCATAAATTAGATTTTGACAGAACTTGCCTTCCTCCATCTTGGTGTTAGAAATGAGCATTTGTCGTAGGTGTTTGAGCAGGCCTGGCCAGCTGAACGCACTGTAGGCTATGGAGGAGCTAGACATCTGAGGGATAGTACACACACTGAGCAGCTTGTACTCTGGGTGGCATGTGAGGGCACTCACCAGCTCACCTGAGAAACAGAGACATTAAAAGATCATGAGTATTAAGACGTGACAGAATACATGCAATGCACGATGTTGGCAGTCATTTCCTCTTTTTCTACCTATTGGCGTGACAGAAGGATTTAATAATGATTTTTTCATCTAAAGGAATTAAGACTCTCCTAATCCAGTGATATTCCAGTAAATCCATGCCCTGTGGGAACCTGTGTGTGTGTGTGTGTGTGTGTGTGTGTGTGTGTGGCCTCTCTCACCCAAGGGATTTCTGCTGTAGACTCCATGGGAGTCGGCGGTGAGTGCGGGCTGCATGATGCTGCCCAGCTGGTGAGCGATAACCCTGTTGACATCGCTGAAGGAGATGTGTTTGATGTTGAGCAGCTGACTGCAGATCCTGTGCACCGTGTCGTTCTCGTGCACCAGGATGGCGTCCGACAGCTGGTAGAGATGAGCCAGCGTCAGCACGGAGTTGTAATTCTGGACAATCACCTGAGAGGGGGGCCCCAAGGAAAAAAGATTGAATACCACATTATTCTATACTCGCTTTAAAGACTAGACAGTTGGCAGCAGTCTCGGTACCTCCCCAGTGCCGTACGGCCAGGTGAGGTGGTTGAGGATGAAGGACTTGGGGTAGATGTCTCGGAGACACTGGGTGACATAGGTACCGACCCCGGATCCCGTTCCCCCTGCCACACTCATCATGGCCATGAGCCCAGCCAGTCTGTCACAGCGCTCCACCTCTCGCCTCACCAGCTCCTCCACTACGTCTCTGTGGCGGGGGCCGTGGACGCAGTACCTAGTGTCATACAGAAAGCACATTACCAGCTTTTTGTTTTTCTCTATTTGTGTCTGAAAGAATACACAGTTCTGAGTTACATCTGACATCCCAACTCAAGGTCCTCTTACTAGCTTTTTATTGTCAAAAACTACTATTTCTAAAGGTTATGAATGACCTCTGATGATTCATTTTTAACTTTCGGGAATTTGATGCTTTTCTTTTTCATAAATGAAAAAAGTAAACTTAAGGGACCAGTGTGTGGGATTTAGTGCCATCTAGTGGTGTAGTCGCAGATTGCAACTCCCTCCACTCCCTTTCTAAGTGCCAGGGACAAACTACAGTGGCTGTGAATCACACAAAACCACAACTGGCCCCATCTAGAGTCAGTGTTTGGTTTGTACTTTCTGAGCTACTGTAGAAACATGGCAGACTCTACAGAAGGCGATACACTGCATCTGTAAATTAAAACGTCTAATTCTAAGATAACGAAAACACAATGATTCTTATATTTAGGTAATTATACACTAATAAAAACAAATCTGTGAATATTATATTCCATTTCTGCCAATAGATCCTCCTGAATGTTACACACTGGACCTTTAATATCTTTGGGTGTTGGACTGTTGCCCAAACCCAGACATCTGAAGACATGACCTTGTGACAGAATATCTTTTTTCTTTTTTTTCCCAGCTTTCTATCATTTATTAGACCAAAGGATTTATTAATTGATCAGAACAATTTCTGTAGATTAATCCATTATTAGCCTTAGGGATCAAAATCCCAAAAGTCCTAAAAGTGCTATGGATGAAACAGCTGAGTTTGCAAGTCAACATATCCATCTCCATAACAACTGAGCAACCCAAGTGATATGTTAGAAATCCAGTAAGTGGGCCTTGAGTTGGGATTTATCTGATGTGATTACCAAATTACACGATGAGGTGATTGACATAGCTTTACTTAACCTATCCCGTTACTATAACAACAGCAGTCTACGTACCCATTGGCCCAGTTGTTTCCGGAGCCCTGCTTCTGGCTGAAGTGTGAACTCTCTCCATACCTCCACCTGCCGCCCTTCACCGCCCTGCTGATACTCTGGTTGATCACTTTGGGCTCCATGTCCACCAGCACCGCCCTGGCTACAAGCTCTGGGTAATAAACAGACACGGCAGGTAGAGGTGGAGGTGGAGCGGCTCACACAGGGCTCACACAGGGCTCACACAGCTTATATGAACTAGAACCGGAGACTCACCTCCATGTGCGGTTTGGTGGAAGAAGCGCTCACAGCTGGCCGTGCTGTACAGCTTCCTCTGTCCCTGCTGAGCGTCGCTGCACAGGAGGTCAAACAGCTCGTGACCCACCTGGTTACCGCACTGACCGAGCTGCACGGTAACTATGGACATCGTTCACCCTAGCGACAGCCCCAGACTTTCCAGAAGGATCGATAGTTTGCGGGTTTAGAGTATGAGACCGAGCAGGCTGGAGTCCACCGGTGAATTCGCGCTGTGAGTGAAAGGTTTCATCTCTGAGGAGTTGTTAGGTGTCTTGTTGTTTGAAAGCGGCGTCCGTCCTGTCGTCTGCCGCCGTACGGAAAGCGTTTCCGGTCCAAACTGTCCAAACTTTCAAAATAAAAGTCGTATTCAGTTGTGGTGAACGGTTGTCCCAAAGAAGACGAGTAAACATCATTTCAGCAATAAAATATAATTTACATTGATGTATTAATATTATTATTGTTATTAGTAGTAGGAGTAATAGCAGCAGTCGTAGTTATAATTGTATTAATGTTTGTTTTTATTATTTTATTAGGATCTTAATCATGTAAGTTGGTCTAAAACTAGCAGTTATTTTCATGATCGATTCATTTCTCGATTAATACATTCATTTATTTATTTTGTCTATAAAAATGACAGTAAATATCAACAAAATAGCCATCCAAAATATCTTGTTTTGTTCGACCAACAATCTGAAAACCTAAAATATTCAGTTTCCAGTGATTTTTTTTTATCAAAATAGTTGCTGATTAATTCTTTGTCAATTGCCTAATCGATTAATTGTTCTTAATGTAGGAAGTTTCGTTATAGCTATTTCAGTAGTTATATGATTTATAGATAGATTTAAATTCGATTGATTCTATATTTAAGTCATTACGGTGTTTTTCCAAGAGCAGAACCCACATACGGTAATAATACATGTCGGGTATTTATTTGTAGAGTATGTGCATAAATGTTTAAATGCAGCTGTAAATATTTACAGGTGTTACCACAGACCTGGATAGTTCGATCAGAGTAGTTATTCTGGATCCAGGTCCTTTTGATAAGGGCCAGGATTTTATTGGAGGGTGTTAGATTAGCTTTAATTAGCTTACACTTTGTTGTTAGATTTGTCTTTGCATCTAATAAAGCAGGGGTTCCCAGACGTTTTCATGTCAAGGACCTCCACAATAGATGCACATTAGACTTCCAATTTACAGGGTTATGTCTTAAAGAATTCCCTTTCTTGACCTCTATTTAGATCTTATTATCTAGATTCATTATCAGGATTATGCGTTGTAATCTCGCAAACTTTGCTTTTTGTTCGCTTTACTAGACGACCAAAAACTGTCAAAAGAAGCTCATCCACTACTGCAAAGCTTCTGTGCTATTAGCCATTACTTATGTGTTTATCAAGCAACTCCGAATCACTGTAGTTCAACAGAAGAAATTCAATTATTTATGAGCTTTTATTTATTTTGTATTATTTTTAGGTTTGAAGATTAAAAAAACCTTTATCGTCAATCAACGATGAAACTAGAATCACTATAAGATACCCTCAATCATAACGTCCAACCCTATCTCTTTCCTTGTTGTATCAACCTCCAAGAAAATGTGATAAAAGTTAAAACATTATAAACCTTCCTTTGCTGAGAACGATTTTCTTTTTAGATTTAAAGCCACTGTAACAGAGTAGGTGTAAAGGCTTGTGATGAATGGCAAAGGAAAGCTCTAAGGAGGTTTATTAAATATTTAATACAGCAGTGTGCGCTGTTGTTTTCTGACAAAATAAAAGCAAAGCGCTCAGGTTACCGCCCCTTTTGTTGAGCGTTGCAGTGCGCATGCTCAGTGTAGTAGCCGGTTATGGCGGCGGTGTGTGTTTGTCCATGAGGTGGGGGGACGCCTGCTATTCTTGTGGTCTGTGACAGAGCGATCCGAGCGAAGCGCTGCCATGGCTGGAGTGTTTGACATTGATTTGGACCAGCCGGAGGAAAATGTCTCCGACGACGAGAATGAGGAGGTACTTTAATGGAGGATGTTGAACGTAACTGCGAGAGTTGTCACAGCAGAAACTCTTCATGGCACAGCTAGCCTGTTAGCCTGGTAGCCTGGTAGCCTGCCACCCACCGCAGGCCTGCTCCTGCAGCCGGGGCTCTCAGGCCTTGTCAGACAGGGTTACCAGAGGCTAATGTTAGCTCTCCTCCGTTAGCCTGACAGCGATCATGACAGAGCTGTCACTTGTTCTGTCTTTATTTTACGGCTAGCGATGGCAAGTGGTGAAATGCATGCGCCGTTAACGCTGTCACGTATAAAAACCAGCGCTGTCAAGTTGGAGCTGTGCAAGCAAAGCCTTACTTGGCTCAAGGTGCTGCAGTGATAAATGTGGCTCGGTGTGCAACAGTTTATTTTGGCAAGACTGTTACAGAGTGGGGCTGTATGGAGCTGCTGCTGCGTGTGTGTGTGTGTGTGTGTGTGTGTGTGTGTGTGTGTGTGTAACACAACACTACTGCAGATCTTCACTGTACATTTAACTTAACAATCGCTTAAATGATGTGTAACAACTGCTTTATGCACGGGCCAAACTATCTTATTACAGCAAAACATAATCCCATGCTATACTGGGAGTAGTACAGTTTGACAGTAATTATCTGCACACACACACACACACACACACACACACACACACTTAAACATATTTCTCACTAAGATAAACAACTTTTGCTTAATATGTAGCATGTTGGTGTGGGTTGGGCAACTATTTCATCACTGCAGCTCTTGTTTGTCAGTCTCACACCACAGCTGTGTGAATGTGAAGCAAAACTACTTTGTAAACAGGCAGATATGTTGGCTAAGTGTATTGTATTTATAATGTAAGTTGGTCTAAAAGTTGGAATTATTTTCATTATCGATTCATTTCTCTATTAATCAATTCATTTGTTTATTTAGTCTATAAAATGACAGTAAATACCAAAAAATGTCATCCAAAATATCTTGTTTTGTCGACCAACAATCTGAAAACCTGAACTATTTTCCCAAATAGTTTCCAGTGATATCAAAAATTGTGCTGATTGATTTTTTTGTCTGTCGCCTAATCAATTAATTGTTGCAGTTCTAAATGTAGGAAGTTATGTTATAGCTATTTCAGTAATTATATGATTTATTATATACATTTAAATAAGCTTGATTATATATTTAATTCAAGGTTATTTTATTTCTCATTTTACAACGAAATGCAAGCTACAATCCCTTCATGCTACACACAAAACAAAACAGCTATTATCCTATTAATAGCAACTTATGTGTTATGTTATATAATGTCAAGTGTTATAATTATTCATAAAGTTCAAGAGTGTTTGAATTCACTAAAGAAAAGGAAATACAGAAATGTCCTTGTTAAAAAAAAAAGAGAGAATGAAGAAAAGAAAACAGTGATTCCTGACGTCGGTGTGGAGGTTCAGCAGCGAGAGCCGCTCGGGTTTCCTCCATTACAGTCCGTCCAGTTTCTGATTTTGATTAAATTGTGTTTGTGCTTTTCCTTCCAGGCTCAACTCAATGATATCATGGACCAGTGCAGTGGATTTGAGTTGTGAGTATTCAGTTTGTCCACCTGTGCTTGTGCTCTTGTATGATTTTGCGATGAACTCTGTGGAAAAACAAGCAGTCAAATGTGTCTCTGCAGCAACATGGATGACTGTGAGAAGATTGAGATATCAGAGGACAACGTCAACCAGGGGACGGAGAACATCAGACCAGAGTGCTTTGAGCTGCTGCGGGTTCTGGGGAAAGGTGGTTATGGAAAGGTACCAGAGAAGCAGCACGCCTTGAGAAAGCTAACACGCACGCTCGCACAGATAAACACTTTGGATAATATTCCCTCTATAATGTAAACCACTGGATTATTTTCACGTCTTACAACTCTTGATTTGATTATTTTAAACATGTCCGTCATTTTCTCTTCTGCTCAGGTTTTTCAGGTTCGAAAAGTTGTCGGTGCTGCAGCGGGCAAAATATTTGCCATGAAAGTCTTAAAAAAGGTACTTTTTTTTAAATGTTTCCCCTCATCAGTGTCAAAACAACAATCCTGCTTAAAACACTTCATTTAGAGTGATGTACAGCTGCTGTCAGTCTGTATCTTATGAATGCAATTGCATGCCTGTTATTACAAATAAACATTATGGGTTCTGTCTGCAAATATTGGCTGTCCTTGAAGCCAGTGGTGGGGTAAGATTTCATTGCTAGTTGGTAGATTGCCATCTGCGCTGCGCTGCTGCAGCCTTGGCACTTAAAACTCTCTGCCTCAGCCCATTAGATTCTGCCTGACATTCACACTGCTTCTGCTTGATTGGCTAAACTGACCCCAGTGACACGCTGAAGACCGGCCAGATTGCAACCAGTCGTTTTCAAATGTTAAGCTTCAAAGTGGCAAGCATTCACTGTGTGTACAACACGGCTTTGATAAAGGCCCGTATTTATGAAGCATCTCAGAGTGAAAAATCAGTCCTGACTTGCCCAAAATGACAAATACGTAGTCCTATATTTAGCTTGAGGAGTAAAAGCACTTTATCATCCATCTCAACTGAGGATGATATACATTTTCCAGAAACCTGCAGAACTGACCTAACCTGTTACCAGTTCCCAGCAGGTGGACAGTGGTAAGATAAATGTGCAATAAACTTTCCAGAAGCTGTACAAAGAATGTAAAACACATTTGATTTAGTTGTTTTGTCAAAGATCTAATTAGAGTAAAAACTTTTGTCTGAGATATTCATTCCATCTTCAAACTAAAGCCCACTGCAGAAAGTTTACATTTTATGTAATTTACCCTTAATTCAAAACAAGAAAATATAGCTACAACAGCAATGGTTTCCATTATTCCTCCTGAATATGTAATTATATACTAACATATACATTTTGTGTCATTTTTGTGTTTTGATAAAAAAAATTCTCATTCTTCCTGTTTGTGCAACTAGCTTGTAATACAAACAATATAATGTATTCTGTAATTAATTTAGATTTTCCTGCTTCAAATTATGTCTAAATTCAGCCTGTTAGAGTTTTGAATGTGTTGACTGCACATTGAAACCACTTTATGATTGTGACTGTCGTATACCAGTCGTGTCACTCTCTCTTAAAGGAGAACTTTGATTCCCGTGTGTGTGCGTGGGAGGGATCCTACTCTTATGTTGAACTACAGTGATTCTGAGATGCTTGATAAACACACAAGTAATGGCCAATAGCATAGTGGCTTTGCAGAAGTGGATGAGCTACATTTGACAGTTTTTGCCTAGTAAAGCGAACAAAAAGCAAAGTTTGCTAGCAAAAAAAAGGGTTTAAGATTCAGAATACAATACATAATCTGTAATCAATAAAAAAAAAAAAAAAAAAAAGGGAGGTCAAATAAAGGGTAAAATCAAAGGGCTCATCACAGCCTCTGTCTGCCTGTTGGAGCTCCATCTGTTCTAACTCTCAGAGAGAGCTGAGACAACATTGTTGGTGACAGACAGCTCTTTAGCTTTCTGACAGAAGGGGTTGACAAACATAAACAGTAAGCGGGAGCAGTGGATAGGAGATGAGCAGAAGGCTTTGCACATATAAAACCACAATAGTGCTATTGACAACGTGTGTACTCCACATTGTATTCCAAATGTATGTATTTGAAGCAGTTTTCATTGTAAAACTTTGGTTTGAGTGAGTAATGATTAAGGACACTCACTGTCAGAGTATTACTAACTTGTTAAACTTCATTCAATAAACTAGATTAGCAATAATTCAGATGTGTCACTCCTCTATCTTAGTGACATAGTTGCTTAAATTGCTGAGCCCAACCTCTGCCTCTCAGATGTTGTATAGTGAAATATTTTTCTGTATTAGTCATACAGGCATGCAGCTCATAAGGCCACTACCATACACAGTCTGTTTCATCACTCTTAGTGACACACTGCTGTATCTGCCTCCTGACTAATGTTGATATGCTTCTTCGGGGGGGAACCAGGCTATGATTGTACGCAACGCCAAGGACACGGCTCATACCAAGGCAGAGAGGAACATCCTGGAGGAAGTGAAGCATCCCTTCATTGTTGATCTCATCTACGCCTTCCAGACAGGAGGAAAGCTGTATCTCATCCTGGAGTACCTGAGTGGTCAGTGAGAGAAATGAGCACGTACACACACACTCTGCAGGGAGATTAATGCATGCAGAGTGTGTGTGAAATCACTCTGCTTGTGTTGTATACATTTGTATTATTATAATCATGTCTACAGTCTGAATTAGACGAGGATTGTGTAAGAATAAACAATTAGACTACATAACTTTATCTGAAGTCTATAAATTCACACATACACAGAGTCTTTCTGTTGTATTAAATACTCACGTCCCTTTCTCAGCATGTCTTATACACACTCTGGCAAACAGTCATGTAGTTCAGGTTTTAGCTCTCTCACTTGTCCCTTCCATCAAAGCTGAAAATATAATGTGGCTCTAGTTTTTGCATCGATTAATGGTGTGATTCATGAAGAAGGAATCACGTTTTCATGATAGGCACCTCGTCATTCTACGTGTCTCCGCCAGGTGGGTCAGTAGAGAGTGTGTAGTGAACCTTTGGAGAAGGAAGGAAATGATGTTTGTCACCCATGTTAACGGCATAAACTTGTGTTCACCTGTGCAGGAGGAGAACTCTTCATGCAGCTGGAGAGAGAGGGCATCTTCATGGAAGATACAGCCTGGTGAGCGTTGTTATGTGTCATCTGTTATTAAATCACTGTGGTCTGTGATCATTTTTGATGATCAGTGCACATGATATATGAAACTGCAGGGAACTTTAACAACAATACTCACACTTCCTGATTTCTTACCAGACAAAGCTCACCGGTAATATGAACCTAACAACGACAAAAAAATGTTGTATTAATACTGTATGCATATCTGTATCAAACTTATTTATAAACAATTTGTCTGCATGATGTTGATTGTATTTAATGACATTTTTCTTTGTTTTTTTTATCTGTAGTTTCTACCTGGCAGAGATCTCCATGGCTCTGGGCCACCTGCACCAGAAGGGCATCATCTACAGAGACCTAAAGCCTGAGAACATCATGCTCAACAGCCAAGGTGTGTAACCCTAAAACATAACCATCCATATGCACAAATATCATTCAGGTCACATAAATAACAGTAAATAAAGACCTTTTTGTGATTTAATGCAGATATTATCTTATATCTGCTATAAAGAGGTGTGAGGATTGTAAATAATCTGAATATCTGTTTTCCTTCCAGGGCATGTTAAGTTGACAGACTTTGGGCTGTGTAAAGAGTCAATTCACGACGGCACGGTTACCCACACTTTCTGTGGCACCATCGAATACATGTAAGTCATGCTCTTTCTTTGCCCTTCATGCTTACTGTTGACTCATTAGTGAGAATTGTGCGCTCATGCTGTTGCAGGGCCCCGGAGATCTTGATGAGAAGCGGACACAACAGAGCAGTGGACTGGTGGAGTCTGGGCGCTCTGATGTACGACATGCTCACAGGAGCGGTCAGTTAAAAATTTACAACATAAAAAAGCTTTCTACTTCACTCTTATTAATGTGCTGTTATAAAATATGAATCGTAATTCGAAACGTTCGAGTAACCCCTTCCTCTCTTTTTCCGCCATAGCCACCGTTCACTGGTGAAAACCGAAAAAAGACCATTGACAAGATCCTGAAGTGTAAACTCAGCCTGCCTCCCTACCTCACACAAGAAGCTAGAGATCTCCTAAAACGGGTACTACCTGTTTTTTTTTTTAAAGCTTATACCACTCATGTTTATCCAAAATAAGCGTGTGGTTGTTGTGTAAGTAGTTCTGACATTTGACTGCTGGTTGTACAGTTGCTGAAGAGAAACGCCTCGTCGCGGCTGGGAGCGGGAGCGGGAGATGCCACAGAGGTGCAGGTGAGAAAGCGATACGACACTCCCAAGTCTGCTTCTGAGCTCTGAGGAGCAATATACTGCTTTCATATGATATAAAATCAAAAGGTTACAGGTGTATCTTATGTAGATTGTTTCTTTATATAATGCATTGCCATATGTAGTTATAGAGACTGTAACTGGGTTGTAGAGTCACAAACCCTCTCGGGACTCTAACTAACATTGTCATATATTGGACAGAAGCTGCAGCTGGCTGAATGAATGACGACTTGTTAACATTTTTCCGAGACTGAAAAGCTATGTTTTATGGCCCTCTGTTCATACAGTAGCACTCTGTTTGCATTTGATATCCCAAAGGCTCATCCCTTTTTTCGACACATCAACTGGGAGGATTTGCTTGCTCGGAAAGTGGAGCCTCCCTTCAAACCTTTCTTGGTGAGTATCAGAGGAGCAGACCGCGAGGTAGCCTGAACTAGATACTATATAAATTTGAGAATGTTTAAGGTTGAAATTAGATACTCAATTCACAAATAATGCTGCTCGAGTAGCTTAATATTCTGGTTGCCCTGCCTGGATTAAACCAACTGAATACGTTTGAGTAACAGAACCCAGGTCTTCTCTTGTTTCAGACCTGCGTGTTGTTAGTTGACACATCTACTCACGTTGCCTCACCTTTTCACCTGCGTTTGTCTCGTCCGTCTTTGCAGCAATCAGCTGAAGACGTGAGTCAGTTTGACTCGAAGTTCACCAGTCAGACACCAGTCGACAGCCCGGATGACTCAACCCTCAGTGAGAGTGCCAACCAAGCCTTTCTGGTAACTCCTTGGATCTTTTTGTTTGTTTTGTGACATTTGACAACTCACAAAAGAAAAAGGTTAATCTTTTCAAAAACACGGCGAGAAACCTTTCGTGTCAAATGAATGATTACTGTTGCATTTCTTATTATTATTCTCTGCTGTTCAGTATGGAAAACTCTTTGGTAACAATTAGGTTTACTTCCTTTCTCAGTTACTTTAAGTTCCCCTTTCACACGTAGTCAGTTTAGAAACAATAATGTGGAGCTGATGTGTTTTTTTCCATCAACCCTTAAAATCTATGAGTATCCAAATTTTCATTTCTGAGTTCATTTCTCATTTTCCTGCTGGACACAAGATGTGTCCTACTTCACTGTAAAGTCCATTCTCAGTGTTTGTGCACTGGCGGCTGGTTTCTACTTCTACTTCTTGTAAGTTGCCTTTAAAATCGGATTTTCAGTGAGCACAGAGAAACTTTCCACTTTCAGCAGATTAATGTGAAAACCTCCTTCTAGTGCACATACATCATTCTGCACAGTGGAGCTCAAACATGTAGGGAATGAGAAGAAAAAAACATGTTAAAAAAATACACCACAGGTTTGCACAATAAACATGCCATTTGTTGAAGGCTTGTAGTCAATCAGCATTTAGCCTAAAACAGTTAATAGCTTATACATCAGTATCAGTTTGTATTGTCTTATATTCAATTTCTAAGAACACTCTGGTGTAATAATCACAAGCATCAAAGAGCAGCATAAACAACAATGTGGAGCTCCCTGGCCAATTAGATCTGGATCCTCACTGCTGTTTCCGATCCATTTCTTCCTCGCGCTCACTCTGCCCACAGCCTGCCCCTCAAATGTGACCGTACTTCTCTTTGTCCTCGCAGGGTTTCACATACGTCGCTCCGTCAGTCTTGGAAAACATCAAAGAAAAGTTCTCATTTGAGCCAAAAATCCGCTCACCTCGTCGGATCGTGGACAGCCCAAGAACTCCTCTCAGGTATGTCACCTGCAGCCGAGACAAACACGTCGAATTATGTACTAGTTGAGATCGGACCCACAGTGGGTCTTTGTTTAATTCCTGATATTCCTAGCCTCACTCTGTTGATCTAAATTTTTGTTAAAGTTTGTTGATACAATTCCTTCTCAATTCAAATATAGTTTTTCACTCCATCTGAAGCCAAACACACAGCCCACAGCGTATTAATTAGAATTATTTAGAGACTAAAGCCACATTTGATTACACTTACCCTTGCCTTCGTCTGTATGTTTGTCATTGTTACTAATGCCTCCTCTCTTCCTGTCCTTAGCCCAGTCAAGTTCTCGGGGGTCGAATGCTGGGCCCGAAGCCCCCTCCTCCACAGCGGAGGACCGAGCGTCCTCCAGTCACCTCAGGACCAGGCCATGGAGCTGTCCACCCCAGAGCAGATGGATGTCACGACGAGCTCTGAGGCCTCGGCGCCTCTTCCCATCCGTCAGCCCTCCGGCAACATGGCTCAGATGAAGCAGCAAGCCTATCCCGTCGTGGCCAAACGGCCCGAGCATCTACGTATGAACCTATGACCCACTGCGCCTCATTAGGAGAGTTTATTTCTTGACTTTTTTTTTTTGTTGATATTTTTTAAGAAACAAAGCAAAAAGATATGGATGCTAGAGACAAAATCCAAAATTGCACATCCACACACTACATAGACTGTCACAACCTGGAGTTTGTGCGTGGGTCTGGGACTCCAGCGCGCTGCAGTTTAAGTGCTACCGACGACATCACCGTCTCACCACTTCTCCTTATCCGACACCTCAGGTCTCACGACCTTTGTGTTCTGACCCTCCCTTTCTGAACTGGACTAGTAGGACTGGAAATGTTTTGAGGAGCTACAGCCTTTGTGCAACCTGGAAATCAAAGGCGATGTATCACACAGTATGCAAGCGATTTACTCTAAAATGCAGTGAGTCTACAGCACGTCTAAGATGACGTCCAAAGTGCTTTGTGCTATTTGAATCAATGCCAGTGAGGAAATTGCTTCCATTGGGAGATTTTGACAGTTCTTAGACGAAAATGCTTCCTGATTCTGAATGAAATTATGTGAATTGGGTTTATTATTGAAAAAGATCAAAGAAATCATTGTTGCAAGCAGCAGACAAGCAGAGGTTCTGGTAGTGATGACTATAGCTTTATGTCTTACGATGTTTTACAAAATGGATGCATTAACTGTGCTATACATCAATGATGAATCAGAGAGGCTAAATTAAACACGAAAAAAAAACATGTTGACTTTTTACATTCTTTCGGCATTGGTGTTGTGGATGACTTGTTTGATGTGGGAACCATACTTCAATTATCCGCTCTTCAGGTGTACTACACTATGGGATGTATCACTGACGCATCACCAGACATGATTCAGCTTGATCACCGTCACCACCCAAAACCATCTAACTGATCTCGGTGCTGCTTTGAGTGACCCGCCCCGACTCTGGCCTCCCAAGAGACTTAGGGCCTCATGGGGGGCAGGAAGTCAGACGCCATCTGACGCCTGGGAATTCATATTAGACTGTAGCACCAGTTGATCTGGTCACTGTCTGCAGTTGTGAGGTTTAATGCTAAAAAAGACAAAACTTGGGGCTACATGTAAAGCCTCACGCATCAGCGTTCACTTGTTTAGGAGGGACATTTTAGAAATCCTGAAAAGCAAGGAAGGTTATAATAAAATGTAAAAAAAAAAAACAATGCGTTGTCTTTTGTTTTACGCCGACGATCGTCTATACTCCACATTTCAGGTAGAATCACAGGAGACCTCACAAGTGTGCATTGCATATTTTTTTTTAATTACATATAAGATTTGTTTCAAATCTCAACAACATTGCATTGTATGAATGTCAAAGTTCATCATCAGAACATTATAGACTACTAATAAAATGTCTCACTATGGTGTCACCCTGTCATGTCCGTTTCCTTTAAATGATTGGGGATTTGGACTCATTGTAAATAAAGGTTGTGCAAAGTTAAAAAAGGGAAAAAAATCACTGATTTTCATTTCATGTTTTCAATTAAAGGGTAACATTAACAACTTTTTGTATTTCTATAATTCACCACCACCTAAAGCCAGATTAGCAGAATAAAGTCACTCCATAAAGCATAACATATGGTTAAAGCATATGTCACTGAAATGAACACGGTCTATATAATAAGTCAATGAAAATCAAACAAACAAACATAGTGCCCTGTTGATGGCAAAAAGGCTCTCAGGATCAAGTGTTATATTACAGTGACTGGCAGAAATTAACATCAGGTGGTATGAAGTTGATAAGTTTAGGAGGCTGCTCACAGTGCGGGAGGAATTCTGTGTATTTCAGAGTAATCTGTGGCAAAAAAAAGAAAAAACCTTGTGGTTCACAAAGTAGAAAAGAATGCAAAATGAGTTAAAAAACAAGTCTTATCCTCACATGAACCCTGATTGTGTGCTTCACCAAATACATTTGACAGAGCAGTTGGCTCAATGCTGGCTTTAGAGAAAAATACTGTAACATTCAGTTCTATGTACAATATGCAAAACAGAAATGGGGCAATTGTTTGTTAAGTTCCTCATCGAGGCTGCTGGTCTGGGATCTGAATTGTTTTTGGGATGAGAAATGAACTGTACGTTTCCACTTGACGTCCCACTGCCAAGGGATCCCTGATCTACTCAGCTTGTCTGCAATAAACGGATGCATTGACAGTATACAATCTATTGTCCTTTAACATAATAACTATGCATCTATACAACTGAAAAAAGCTCTGATATACAAGGGCCTGCGTGTGTGTGTGTATGCAACTTAAAAATACCTCCGCAAAAATCACCTACCAACTGGGACCTATTGATAACCAAGATGTTGCAACAGTTAAAAGCTGCACTGTCCAATATTGCTAATAAAGATTTGAATTAGTCCAGTGATGGGTAAAACTAAAGATTTAAGGAAAGTTTAGAAAGCAAAACCAAACATTGCTCTAACAAAAAAAAAAAACATGTAATATTTTAGGCATTCAGTTCATTTAATGAGTGATGATATTGGTAATGTATTATGCATAAATCAATGTGAAAATTATTCATGAGGAATGTGCACTTGGAGTATATAAAAAAAACAGTTATAATGAATATGGTCAAGTTTTGTGTCTACCAAACTACAGTATATTACTGAAAACAGTATTACACAATCAGTCTTCATCAATTTAACATCAAATTATCATGATGACGGCAATGCTCCCTGCCTTGATTATTTAACTACAGCTAAAACAACGGTTTCTTTGACCTACAGACTAAAAAAAAACTAAACAAGGCACAAATACTTCATAGAAACATAATATATTTAAATAATCATAAAAAAAAAGATTTAAATCAAACAGCAATGAAAGATATTCTTCAAACTGGGTTTAACTCACCTGGATTGACAGATTGGTTGAATGTGCATACAAGAAGGAAATCGTACCCACATAAGTGCACACAGTGTGAAGGAGTGCATTTGTAGGTTTGACTGTCTTTTCCCTTAAGTATCCTTTTAATATACATTAAATGGTGACTGGCCAGGGAGGTAAGTCAGTATCTGAAGTGCTGAGTTTACTAAAGCTTAAATTCCAAAGAGGCAAAAACTGCACAGAACAGCTTCACTTGTATTTCACACATTGGTAAAACTCAACCGTCTGAATATCCAAGCAGGTTAAAAACAAACCCAGAAAGTTTCTTGAACACGTTCTTTGACTGACTTCTGGTTTGGTTTGGCTGTTTCGAGCAGCAGAATATGGTTTCAGAACAAAAGAAAACAAACAAGGTCTGAGTTTCAGTTTTCAGGGCACTGTTACAGTTAGCACGACTAACGATCCAGAGAGACACTTTTATCAGATGTGTGTACTTCGAGGTGACAGAGGTGGGAAAGTGTGAGAGAGTGTTTTCTGAGCGTAGCAGCTGGAACTGGACCAGAGGGATGAAACCAGACAGATGAGAGTGGAGTTACAATATGTCCACCATTCAGTCGTTGTTGTATGCAGAGCTGGAGGCGGGGAAAAGAAGAGTCTGTAGTATTGATGTCATCACTAATTAGCTCTGCACCTCCATGCAGCAGGGCTCTGTTCCTGCAGCTGCCTCATCTTCTTCCCTAACCACACCCACCACGCGAAACCAATCACAACGCACACCACTGACTCCACGTAGTAGCCATCCAGTGTTGTCACACAAGCACCACCCTCCTTAACGCACAGCTGGAGATGGGAAAGAAAGAAGAACTGTCAATTTATCCAGTCGAGGTAATTACATTCACCACTTTGCATATTTTCCCCTCACTATTTACTCACCCCTGCCTCGTCTGGAGAGCCGCAGCTCTGCCCGACAGCCCCCTGACACTCCTTAGAGGTCAGTGGATCCACCATCCACAGAGCCACAGTGGAGGGCCAGTTTCCACCAAGGTTGGTGACCGTGTTCAGCAGAGTCATGTAGGTTCCACCGATGAGGGGGTCACTCACTTTGGCATGGAAGGCCATGCAGGCCACGTACATGCTGTACAACGCCACCTGGGGGAGAAACATGGGGAACACTTGTTGAGACTAATCAATTCCCAGCAATTTATATCCATTTTTATTTGTTTAATGGATGTTCCTGAAAAAAAATATCATCACTTTTTCCTAAGCCAAAGAACTACATCTCTGTAAAATGGGTTTCATATCTTATTAAAAGACAGATTAACAGAGATTACAATGTAACCTCCTTCAATCAGATATGCCCCATAAACATTATTTTCTTCTGTTGCACAGTGACATCTGGAGGAAGAGATGGGTGATAGGAGGAAAACCTATGTTAACACTTGTTGGCCCTTATGTACCTGTAAATTATACTCATTATGCCCATTTATAGATTACAAGGATCATTTGCTTTTAAAGTGAGGCTGTGCTTTGAGCTAAATGCTAACATCAACATGCTAACATAAGTATCTCGGTGTCTATATTGATTGCACTTTAACCTGGAATACCCATGTTGGCGGTAGATGACAAGTTAAGGGATCCCCAAAGTGATCACAGTTTATCCTGAGGGCAACATGAATACCTGTACAAACCTAATGATAAACCATCTAATTGTTTTTGAGACATTTCCCTAAAAAACACACAGTGACACTAGAAGAAAAGTCACAAATGTCAAATTTTGTGCCTATCCGTCTGGAAGTTGTTCAGATATTTCACAGGATAAGGGGAAAGTGAAAACCTGATGTTGGTGCTATAGGAAATGTCCGGGGTTCACCAGTAAGATTCATCCTCTGTAGACAATGAATGTCTGTGGCGATCAATCCAATAGTTGTTCGTCAAAGTGATCGAATGACCAACAGCCCAACAGACTTTGCCATCCCGAGATGCTGTTAGCATGGATAAAATTGACAAATTGAGAACGTATTGCCTGTTGTTCTCAATTTTGGCCATTTTGGCTCATTTAAGCCACTTTCCATTATCTATCCTATAAACAGTCTGGCACTGTCTGAGATCCTGTCACCTGGAAAATCTATGATACTGGCTAGGCTAGAAGAAGAAAAGAGGAGAAAAGATATTTAAGAGAGTAACAGAAATACCTAACCTGATGCACTGCGTAGCTAAGCAACACTATGGCGTAGTAGTAAACAGGGAACCCTCCTTCTTCCCTTGCACTGGGGGTCCACCACACCAGCAGAGCGTACTCCAGTCCTATGAGCAACCTGCAACAACACGACAACCGTTAGCTTTTAGTTTATTGAATGCGTTTAAGCACAGGTTTGTGTGTATGTGTGTTACAACCTAAAAGGGAAGGCCCTGTAGAAGACATCGAGAGGTCTAGGCCCTGCTGTGTATTTACTGATGATCACAGGTAGTAGGATCTGCAAAGGCACCATGGGCACTGCCAGCAAAGCCAGCTGCTCCTTGGGAACTCCAGCCTCCACCAGCTTCAGACCTGTCACTGCATCTGCTGCAGAGAAGCCAATCTGAAACACACACAGAGAAGACACATCAGAAAACTTTCATGCCCAATTCATATTCATGTTTCAAGCAGCAAAAAAGTTCTTTTTTTAAAAGGTAAACCAAATATTTATCAAGTAATGGTCAAGTACTTTAGCAGTGAGAAGCAGGACACAAAAGGTGAAGACTGTGGGCATCTTGATGATAGAGAACAGCAGCTTGTAGGTTTCCATGACGCCTTGTGTCTCCTCTTGGACTCTCCTCTTTCCTTTGCCGTGCTCATTTTCCCTTTTAATGATGGCTACCAACGTCGTGGAAACCAGGAA